TCTTTCTTTCTTTCTTTCTTTCTTTCTTTCTTTCTTTCTTTCTTTCTTTCTTTCTTTCTTTCTTTCTTTCTTTTTTTCTTTCTTCTCTCTCTCTCTCTCACACACACCCCTGTCAGCCTTCATTCCCTCTCACTCCAGGCACTTTACTCACAAGGGGAAGTGAATCCAGCATTGGAGAAGTTTTTCAGGTTAACGGACATGCATTTGCAGCTCCTGCAAACTTCCCCATGTCTGGATTTCCCCCCTCCCTCCCCCAGCGTTCATTCCTTCTCCAGGCACTTTACTCACAACGGAAGCAATATTTCTAGTGTCTATAAAGAATCAGCCTTGGGAGCAGTTTTGCAGGCAAATGGACCACTGCTCCGCCCACAATCATGTGTTTTCAAGTAGCTGCTTGAAAATGCATGGCTAGGGCGGAGGAGCAGTCCTCCTTTAAACAGGGGAGAGCGAGCATCGAGCAGGTGGGGCGAATGAGTGAGCAGAAACCAGGTGACCGGGTCGGGGGCCTGGCCAGCCAGATATTGCTACCAGTTCAGCGACCCATGCCGAATTCTTGCTTCTAGTTCGCCTGATTAGGTGCAAACCGGATGAATACCACCTCTGCTCCTGTACCCTTATATTCCTGGTTGTCCTTCTCTGTACTTTTTCTAGAGTCTCAACATCTTTTTTATAATGGGGTGACCAAAACTGGATGCAGTACTCTAGGTGTGGTCTTACTAAGGCTTTATAGAGTGGTATTAGTTTCTCACTTGATCTTGATTGTATCCCTCTGTTAATGCAGCTTAGGATTTCATTAGCATTTTTGGCTGCTGCTGCACACTGCTGGCTCATATTTAGCTGGTTGTCCACTAAGATTCCAAGATGCCTCTCACAGTTACTGCTATTGAGCCTGGTTTCACCCAGTCTATATGGGTACTTTTGGTTTTTCTTGCCTAAGTGTAGGACTTTACTTTTCTCTACATTGAATTTCATTTTGTTCGATACAGCCCAGTGTTCTAGTCTGTCAAGATCCATCTGGATCTTGAGCCTATCTTCTTGGGTGTTAGCTATTCCTGCCAGTTTAGTATCATCTGCAAATTTGGTAAGTTTCCCTTCTATTCCCTCATCTAAGTCGTTAAGATATTGAAGAGTACTGAGCCTAAGACAGAACCTTGTGGCACCCCACTGCTTACTTCCCTCCATGTAGACTTAGACCCATGTTATGATTTAAATCTTGAGTAAAGTCTTGGGGGCCCATAGCCATGTTCCATGGCAAAAAACAAATATTTAAAGGGGTTCTGTGGTGAAAAACCCTAAAGTACTGTAGTATTTTCTAACTTTAACATGTCAACTACCTGAATTTTATAACTATTGCTAAGAATTCTACAAATTGAGGAATGCACATATTTGGAAGTTGCCACGGCTGGGGATACCACTACAAATTAAGAAATGTACATGAAAGTTATATCAAAAGTGCAGTAGCCTTTTCAATGTACA